CTTAGTTATATATTAAGTAATAATAAATAATATAATTTTTTATTTTACTTTTAACTTTTTTATATACTCTAGGCTATAAGGTATAGCAGCGCATGTAATATAATAATATTAAATTAATAAGTTTTAGCGGCTGCTATATATACTTTACTATTATATTTAAACCCTTTTTAATATTATTTTTTTTATTACTAGTATTATTATAGTCTGTATTTAATAATAAAAATAGGTTATTTTATTTTTAATTTATAAAATATAAAATAATAACCATGCTATAACTTAATATTTAAAGTAATAAGCCTAGTAAATAATAATAAACCTTTTATATAAATTAATCTTACTTTATAATTAGGGTATTTATTATTTTTTGCACTAGTAATAATAAAAAATAGCGTGTATTAATATATTTAAAAACTAATTTTATAACTTTTTTATATAACTTTGTTTTTTTTTAGGCTTTATAATATACTTAATAATATAATAAAGTAAAAAGCGCTTATTAATATATATAGCCATGTTTAAGTTTACAAGCTACCCTAAGTTAATAATTAAGTTAAATATATTTAGGGTTATATTATTACAGGTTAAAAAAAAATAATAATATATACTATTAGTTAGTTTTATTAACTAAGAATTATACCATGTTGCTATAAAAAAATAAAAGTAATAAATAACTTTTTTAGTTTACTTATTTATTTATTAATAATAATTTATATTATAATAATAGCGTAGTACATAATTTATAACTTATATAAAATAAGTAAGTATATTTTTTTACTAAAACTAGGGTAGCTAAATAACCTTATAATTTATATTAATAATAATAATTTATATATAAAAAGGGTAAATAGCTATAATATACATGCCTTAATAAGCCTTAAATAACTACTATAGCTTGTTAAACTATTAAAGATTATTAAAAATAAAAGTAAATTATATTTAATATATACTATAATTATAAATTAAACCTTAACCTTGCTATTTATAGCAAGACTAATTATTTATAATATTAAACTTAGGCTTAATAACTATATTAAAAAATATATAATAGTAGTAATAAAACCATGCTATAATAATATAAGGGTTATTTTATAAATTATATTATATAATTTATTTATAAATAGCCTTTATATTATTATATTATACTTTATACTTAAGTAATTATTATATTAGGTTATTTTAGTATAAATTAGTTATAAAAATATTAGGAACAGGTAAGCCATGCTTATTTAAAAAATAAAAAGTTAAAATAACACGCATGGTAACAAAAAACAGGCCGCTTATTAATATTTTTAATTATGGCTTTTAAGCTATTTTTTTTACTATACTAAAATAGCCGCGTACCGCGAATAATTTTAAAAAAACTAATAATAAAACTTAATAATATAAATAATTTAGCTATATTTAATTAAAAGGCTACCTATAACTTTTTTATAAAAATATCTTACTAGCTAGGCGCGTGGTTATAAATATAAAAACTAGCTTACTAATTTATTTATTAATAATAAATTATATTAAAATAAATATATTAAAACCAGGGATGCCGTGCAAAATAGCCACTTTTATATTTAAGTAGGTATTTAATATAATTTATAAATAATACCTCGCGCGGGCATGTTATAACTAGCTTTATATTATTATAAAAAAAAAAATAAAAAATACTAGTAATAGTAATTATTATAAGTAGTTAAACTTAAATAATAATATTATATAAAATAAAAAAAAAGTTAAATAAGGGTTATTATATACTAGCTTAATAATATTATTTACTATGGCCTGTAAAGCCTTAAGCTTTATAATTATTATAAATAAATTAAGTATTATAACTATATTAGGTGCCTGTATATTATTAGGGTTTACCTATTAATTATTATTTAAGGTAATTAGCTTACCAGCCAGCTCCTAGTTTAAAATAAAATAATTAACTAGTTTATTTTTTAGTAACTATATAAGGTTATAGTTATTTTTAATTATATTTTAGTACCCTAAATAGTTTACCTAAAGGTAATTTAGCTATTATTTAATTACCTAGTACTATATTTTAAAGTTATAATAAAATTATAAATATATTTTTTAATTTATACTAAAATTAAATAGCTATAAAATTAATATTTTAAGTTTTTTAGGTAAAAACAGGAGCTATTTATATACTTAATTAATATTTTATAATAAGTTAATAATATAGCCTTTATATAAATACTAGTAACTTTAAATATAATAAACCTTAATAAATATATAAACTCTTATTATTAGTATTTTTTTAATTTATATTAATTTTAAAAGGTAAAAAAAAATATTACTAGGATTTATTTTATTTTATAAACTAAATTTAAAATTTTTTTAATTTTAGTTAGCTAACACGCAACGCTTGCAAATATTATTTTTTTTTTAAAAAATTTATATTAAATTATTATTTTTAATAATAACTATATGTTTTTAGCTAATATATATTAAGCTAGTAATAAAAGTTATTTAATAACTTTTAATTATAATCCGCAATAACTAAATATATAAAATTAATTAAAAAAAATAAACATAGTAAAAAAGCATAATTTAAATTTATATGTATAAAAGGGCTGGAGTTAACTCTAGTAATTTATAAAGGTAAAAATAAATTATTTTTAATAATAAACTAGGAGCTTATAATAGTTAAGTTATTAATATTTAATTTAATATTATTTTTTATTAATAATAATAGCTAGCTATAGGTGCCTACCTAGCAGGCAAGGTATAAATAATAATAAAAACATGGCCATTGCAGGTGTGAAAAAGGGTATAAAAGTAATAAATATAATTAATAATAATAAACATGTTAAAGGTAAATAAAAAAGCTAGGGTTTACTAAAATTAATTATATAAGCTATTTAATTAATTACTTATTATATATACTATTATTTTATATTTTTATAATATTTTTTTACTTATTATAAGTTATTAAAGAAATATATACTATAGTATTAATAATCTAGCTTTAGCTATAGTAAGCATGCTTAATATATATTTAGGTTAATTATATTAAAAAAAGAATATTAAAAAGGTAAAATAAAAAAACTTATAATAATAATAAATTATTTACTTTTTTTTTATTATATATTAGTAGCTATAATATATATATAAGGTAGTATAAACATGCCTAATTTTTATAATTATTATAGGTTTAACAAGGTTTATAGCCCGGGTGTTATTAAAATTATAATAAAAAAAGTATAGTGCTATAACAAGTATAAATTATAATTAATTTTATAATTAAACTTATTTATATAAATTATAAGTAAAAAAGGGATTATAAACCTAAGGTTTAAATTATTATATTATTAAAAAAATTATATTATAAGGTTAAAGCAGTAAGATAGGGTTATGTAACTACCCTTTTTTTTAGCTAATTAATATTATTTAGCTTAAGTAATAAAAAAAGGTTATATAACTACCCTTTTTTTAATTAATTAGTATTATTTTACTATTTTACATAATCCCTAATAAAGCTCACGTGACTAGGAGCCGGGACCTACAATTAACATGCGCTTAGGCCTCCACTTTGTTTCAGCCACGCGCAATCATAATTTTGTTTTCAACGGCGGACATTTTGAAAGCTGATGGAATTATTCTTACAAGCTCTACTGGAAAAGGGAGATTGTTTCTGATGGTGCCTTTTTTTTGATGAGGATTCAGTGACATATACATGTATATATAGCTTAGCCAAGGACTGCGGTACATTAAATTGGGATGCTAATGGTTATCAGGATAGCACGGCGTTCATTGTCATATAGTCCAGTCCTCGAACTCTTCTTCCGCTGGTATTTCTATTTTTAACATACATGAGATTATTTACGAAAGCAGCATATTTCCGTTACTACCTTGGAGATTTCCTGGCAGGGGCATGCTGGAACGGTTACAGGTCATGTAACTGCCACCCGACAACGCCTATGGTTGTCAGCGCCTACCGTTATGGTAGGATGCACAATCCCCAGACCGCAAATGTCATGCCGGTTGGTATTGATGCTTTAGTTTAGGGATTCAAAAGGGCTCACGGGTATGGCCAATATACCAATTGTCACTGCTATGGCAGCATCCATTCAGTTTCATGGTAGCTTGTGGCACCAGCGGCTTCATAGCGGACGCCCTGTTGATCATTTTGTCGGATCAAGACTGCTTGGGCATTTTCGACGTTGTGTAACAGTAGTGGGCAAACTTAGCGCCCTAAGTGGCATGGTTATCACTTGCATACAGTACGTGAAAGCAGTTTAAGTGCGGGTCCTGACGAAACACCTATTGAGATTTCTAGTGAGTTAAGTGTTTACTAAGACACTTGCATTCAACTTTATATCTGCTTGAAGCCATACTTACTCTGAACACCAGTACTACCCACAGTAAGCTCTTCTAGGCCACCATTGTTGCTTGATTCCTCAGGCTACACATTATTAACCGTCCAAGGTAGTGTTTTATCTCGCCGTTTTTCACTCCCCATCAGTATTTTGTCTTGGTTACAGCAGTGATGGCTGGATGGTTGCGCAGGGCTCGGCACCTCGGGACTGCCTGGGTGTGTATCCTGTGTACCTCAGCCCTAGTTGGCCGGATGACCTAGGTATGGTAGCGTACGTAACTACAAGGAGCTGCCCGTAACCAAAGTGTCGGTGCATTAGTGGCAGAGTTCTTCAGGAGAGTGGCGTCTTTACGTTTCGTCCGGCGAAGGAACAGTTCTGGCCAGCCCTATGTGTGGTTCCTGCGGCAGGCCCGTCGATCCCTCGGAAGCTTCCCCTTCGCCGCACGATGGTAGCGTAGCCGGCCAACTTTTCAGCACAGGAGATCGCGGGAGAAAAGGAGATAAGCCCAGCTCGGCATTTGTCGTCTGCTCGCTGGGACGCCGCATCAAGTAGGTTGCTAAAAATGGGTTGAACACACACCTCCACCGCAAACACGGTGTCCGCTCGACTGTCAACTGCCAACATGTCGTCATTCGGTGCCAGGCGGTTCCTTATCGGATGGATCGGACTTGTATCCTCGGCATGTCCTATGGGCACCATTTGCGTGGTCCTCCACCTTTACGACGGAGAACCGAGCATAACACTCATTGTCGCAATTTAGTGGATCGCTACCGGCTCCAAGATCTGCATCATCCCGGCCAACTCGGAGATCTTGGGACAACTCAAGTGGGTGTGGTTTTCGGACAACGAGCGGGACATCCGTCAGCTTGGGACGTTCGACGCCGCCAGTCGGGGGGTGGTTGGCGCCGCGCAGTTGCTTTGGACTCTGCGAGGCAAGTAAGCCAGGCGGACCATGGTTGCGGAAGGCTTCGCTAACAATGTCGCAGGCACCTGTCAGTCCTGAGCGCTGTGGCCACAATCCTGGCGTACACCATGGACCCCTTTGCCCAGAACCCTATCTGGTGCGCTACCAGTCCGCCTCGATTCTCGACAGATCCCAATTTGCCCTGCTCGATGTACAGTTCAAGCCCACAGAAGCTCTGGGGAGTTCCGAAGTTCAATTGCCCGTCGAGCAACTGCACATGGCCGTCAACCGCGTCTCTGGAGGCCCAGTTCCTCTGTGCCAATGTCACCGACCAGCTCCGGTAGTGACGTGGACTATAACGGCCCTCGCGCTTGCTTGCACCATGCAGAAGACCAGGGGGAGGGTCCCGATCTCCGTCACAACCACCGGCGTGGCCATGGAGGAAGAGGATAGCCCGTCGAGAGACGACCGCCCGCCGTGGAGGCTGTTTGAGAGTGACGGTCGGGTGTTCTTTGGGGTGTCCTGAATGCCTTTCCTTGTGCAAAGAACTGTGCGTTCGGGCTGGTCATGCGGCCACCCATGGCTACGCCGCTTCCCTTTGACGCTTTGATACTTTGATGTTTGGTTACGTTGTTTTCAACCCTGCCTCCAACGGACCCTTCCACCATTTCCTTGTTCCTGATCCTATCCCCGTTTCGCATTCTCTTTGTCCCCTTACTGCCCCCCAAACACGCAATGGCCCGGTCGAGTATAAATGTGATGCCAGCAGGCCTCGTCTTCTGTTTCCCCAACTCGCATCCTCTTTCCTTCGATTACATACACGCCGGTCGTGCCATTCCGACAACCATTCACCATGGTTTCCATTCTTCTTCTCTCTCTTCTCAGCACTGCGAGCCTTGCATTTAAGGAACCTGCTGCCGATGTTGCTCCAAGTACGTTATCTGCTTCCACTGCTCCAGACACAGCCCCGACACCAATGGGTTCGACACCCACTGCGTGCCCCAATACATTCTCGACCTCCACTTCCAGAACTACGTCTACTCTGACGTCTACTGTGACATCTACGTTGACCTCTACGTTGACCTCTACGTTGACTGCTCCTTCTTCAACGACCCCATCCTCAACCCCCACTGCCTGCCCCAACACCTACACCGGCTCTGCCTCGAGCTCCACGCCTCCCACTACCAGCGCGCCAACTACCACCCCCCCTACTGGTTTCATTACGACTGTCACAGAGACATTCACCATCACCCTTGATTAAACTCCTGGCTTCCGGTCGTCTCTCATGATCGAGAGTTGTTCTTGCCGGTGTGAGACTCGGCACCTAGAATTCTTGTTTGGGCTCGGCGTATTTTCTTTATTATTCATTTTTTTGTTATGTACCTATCTTGTGATTTGACCTTGTGAAAGACTGCATTACATCTTGATCAACCCCCTTGCTGTTTGGTTCTATGTGGCATGAGATACCCTATTCCCTAGTTTCTGTTTATTCCACAAGAAGAGAATCCATGCATTGAACTGTTATTGCCCCTGTAGGTCCATTACACACCGTATCACTTTCTCCTTCCAACATACGCAGACAAAGCGGGATGCACAGGGACGAAACAATTTTTGTAGCTTCTTGCTCAATCCGGGGAAGGTCCGACATACTTATGGTATGTACCATCATTCTTTTGCCCATGATATTACCCAGGCCACGAGTGCTGCTGCCGCCACATCGTGCTGATGCACCCCTACCCATCATGTAGGGTCTTTCATACTTGTAGAAAACATGTATCAGTCGGTATACATGCTTGTTCTTATACTAATAGGAAGTAGCAGGCATGGCTCTGTGCACAAGGGCCCATGTCTGACTATTGCGTTCTAGCGCATGGGCTCAGGGCCCTATGGGGGTGAAGTGTGAATTGTAGTGCATTCAATAACTAAAAGATCAAAGGAGGCCCCATAATGTTGGCTCAAAGCCCGAGTCTATCTTTGATCAGGTTTCAGAGTACTGTGGTATGAAAGCAGAGACTTGATAACACCTCCGCCACGTGCAAGAAATCATGCTTTTAAGTTTATGCAACAATGGCAGCAGGAGTCGTCGCACAGGGCACACCAGCTCCTTGGCCTCCAACCGCACCTACCAATCCCACTGAATGGCCATTAACAGTCCTTTATTACGGTATGTATCCCCCCATTTCAAGGCGGGAACTCTGATATTACTGTCGGACTGTCTCACACTCTGTATACATAACCACGGGATATCCCTCCATCTTCTGGACTAAGAACACTTCCAAGGTTCTTGAACTGTCTAGGGGGTGCGTCCGTCACGCGCAGAAGGTAAATAACTTATAATTCGATGTCCAGAGAGCTGTCCTACCTCCACCGGGGATGAAAATGTGGACTCTATACTATGAACCTGCTGCCGTTGCCACGAGTTTTAGACACAGCTTCTTGTTGGCGTCTCCTACTTCAGTCTCTGCCAACCCTCTCCACACCAGCCACAACCCTGGGTAACTCGCTCATTTATCAGATTACTCTAGAGCTATAAGCACCGGCGTAGCTTCAGTCTCTCTACTGGACATTAAGCAGCTGTCCGGAGTTTAGCCCCGACTATGGGGGAGTTAACTGGCGAATGCTGCTTTGTATCAATGCGTTGGCATCCGCTCTTAACCTGACGCCCCTTGCCTCCAAGCCCAGCGAAGAGCAGGTCGGTTGTAGCATGGGTCAAGCAATCATCATTCGGGTTTGATTACCCCAGGGCCTCTGCATGACCGCAAATGGCTCGCCCTATAGGTACCTGTCATTGTTGATTGCCATTCCGCGGCTCGCGGCGCCAGCCAGCCAGGGTACAAACTGAGGGTAATATTTCTCAAACCATTCACAGTCATTTCTGAAACGCCCTGCGCCGTGAGATGTAGACGACGTTTATCGAGGTCGCCGACAACGCGTACTGTTCTCGAGCGTTGAACAGACTCACACGGGTCCGAGGGTCCGAGAACCTAAATAGCGCAGCCCCCCTACCTGTCGAGTACAACGTTACCCCGGCGCGTCATAAACAGAAGGCGCTTCCAAATTAAAGGCTGCGTTCTGTGCTCAGCGATTAGGGTACTGCAAACAGCCGGTGGGTGGCATACCCGTACCAGTTGCACGATAATAACTGTGGGCATCGAAGTTTAATACACGCGCCTTAAATAGTTCGGTTCAAACAACTGTTGCAAGTTTAGGTAGATGGGTAACTGTACGGGCAATTCACGGGATATAGGTAAACTGTTCCCTCCGCCCTAATCGCGCGAGTCCCTGTGCATATTTGAGTTTGAACATATCACCCTAATATCCCTGATCCAGCCCAGGCCAAGTTATTTTGTTTCCTGATTGTAGCAGCACCACCGGAATCAGTGGGAGGATTTTGTTTTCGATACCATCACCTGCATGTACTTGTCAAGGGCTTTGAAATTGCTCTAAGAAATTAGCACGGAACTACTAGGGCGCAATTCTCAAGTGCTTTGTCAGGCGAAGCCCGCGGCGCATAGGCAGGTTCATATGATAGCCATGTTGGAGGACAGCGGGCGCAGATCAGCGCATGGTCGGAGTGGGGTGCTGACATTCTGGCCCGAGATTGCACTACGACCCGGCGCGCTTCTTGAGGAGAGATGCCTGTGGCTTGGTTTGGATTGGACGCAGGCACAAGGGATTGATTGGGTATATTATGTCAGGGACGCTTTAAGTGGCCACCCGGTGCTCGTGGGGATGGGGACAGTCGGTGGAACTCATGTTGCCATGGTTGTAATAGAAGCGACGGTAGTTGTTTGGAAACCCCATTTCGGAGATCTGGGCTTGTTGCTTAGACACACTGAGCCTCGCACTCCTATACGTCTACAGTATAATCCCGCGCAGTCCGCCGGGTAACCACAGTGCCGGAGTCACTGCAATTGATCTCCAGGCTCATGGTTCCCCTGGTTTCGGACGCACTTACCAGCTGTACAGAGTCCGGGATGGGTTGCTTTCTTTCTACGGTTTTGAAACAAATAATGATAGGGAAAACACACTCCGAAGTCATATTGTAGTAGACCTTAGCTCCCTGGTATTAATCACCTCCGACTGATATTATTAATAAAAGCAACCCCCAGCACCTAGACGCAGTATGAGGCCCCAGCCCATTCCAAAGCCCGAGGAGGATAGGACCATGGAACATCACTCTGTGTCTCTCTCAATCAATAAAAGAGCAACAGTGCTTTCGACGTTGTCTCCTTCCACAACAGGAGCGAGGGTGGTGCCATCCGCCCGAACCCGCCAGTCGGGCCCGAAGCTGGAGCGAGGATCGGAACCATCAATACTGTAGTAGAGGCGGGGGTAAACCCCGTCGCCCTGGTGTCGGATGTGTCAGTAAAACAGAGAATGTAAACAAGAAAGCGCGAGTGGCAGTTGGCAAGCATACCAAGACCGCTTCATCATAAAACCACTGCGGCTGTATCTGGCCCCGCCTCGGCTGGATGAAGGAAAGCCGAAAGTTGCCGTTATTGTCCACGTCGAGGCCAAGATAGAGCACACCAGTGTCGTCGTTGTACTCGGCAGGGTAAATGTCGCCTTGGCTCGTGTTGATGCTAACGCAGTTTGAGAGGTCGTCATTGGGGACCACAAGGGAGGCGTCTGCGGCCAGACAGTTACCGTTTGACACACTGATGTAGGCGTTTTCGACCGATGGGAGGACGGTCGCAGTGTCCTGCGCCTGGGCGGATGAGAGGAAGCCGAGGCCAAGGGCGAGGGCGAGGGCTGGGTTGATGCGTGGGAGAGGCATTGCGTTTTGGTGTCGGAGTGGTCTATAACCTCGAGGGTGCAAGGGGTGTGTGGAGAACAGCTGGAGGCGATAGATATGGCCCTCAAAGTTAAGGAATTGATGTCCACGGGGACAAGGGAAACAGTTTGGACTTTATAAATCAACAGGTCGAATAGAAACTCCGCATCTCGGACTAATGGGGACGTCACAATCGGCTTCCAACAGTGGACCCGGTTGGTTGGGTTGGGCAGGCCTGGTCGTCTTAGCTCGATGCAGGAGAGGGCACATCGAGTCTCGCAATCCCAGAGGTACGTCAAGGGCATGGGTCCGCGCAGTCCGCCGTGTAACCGCAAGCCCGAGGGTACCAGGAGTCACTGCAATTGGACGCCGGAGCCCTTTGTTTCCCTAAGGTCAGACTCAAGAAGACCCTACGCATGGCGGAAGAATCGTCCCACAGCCTGGCCTGGTTTTGTTCCAATCAAAGAGTCGAAAGGAGCGAAGGAACACAGTGGAAAGGCATAAAATCGGAAACATTGATGTCGTAGTACTTGATTTGTAGTACCTACATACATATGTCGAGACCGCTCAGCCTACTGGAACAAACTATTCCATTCTCCAATAAACTGTGGCGGACCCTTTAGAATAGTCCCCTGCTCATGAGACCCTGGGCAAGAAGACCCTGGGCAAGAAAACTAAGCAGCCTCACCCCCCGCGGCCGCAGCCCCGCTCGGCTCAACCAGCGCAAGTCGCACTGGCTCATGAACGTTGTCACTCTCCGAAACAGGAACAAGGGTCGTGCCATCCACAACCTGCCAATCGGGGCCGTAGAGAACATCGTCACCATCAGCACTGAGGCAGAGGTCGATGTAATATCCCCCGCTCTGGTGCCCAGCTTGTTAGCAAAATGGAGAATGGACAATAACAATAAGAAACATAGAGTCGCCATCAACAAGCATACCGAATCAGGTACATTGTAATACCACAGCAGACGTGACTGGCTCTCTGTAAAGAAAAGACGATTGCTGCCAGAGTCCTCGTCGACGGTAAGATAGCGCACAGGGCCCTGGTCAATATCGCCGGTGTAGATGACACCGCGGTCAGTCCCGGTGACAATGATGCAGTTGGATCCGTTGTCGTTCCGTATTACAGGGGAGGCGCTTTCGTCCAGACAGTAGCCGGTTGATGTTGCGACGTAGACATTGTTGGTGAATTGAAGAAGGTTCACAGCGATGTCCTGTGCCAGCGCGGAGGAAAGGAGGCCGAGGGCACCTGCAAGGGCTGAGTAGATGCGAGAGAGGAGCATTGTGGTTTGTGGTGTGTCTGACGGCGGAGGTATGGTATATTGTACCGAGGGTGGAAAACTCACGTAGACAAGGTCAAGTGTGAAAGTGGTTGTCTCGACCTCTTATCTTTGCAGCACGAAGTAACGCAATTTCGCAGTGACCCCTTCCCTGAGCTCAAATTCGATGACCTACTGGAAAAAGGCCGTTGTTTCATCCCGAAAGTCTGCTTGAATCCAAAATCATCTCAAGGTGACATGCCTTCTTAATTTTTGGGCCCTGTTAATGTCTGAAAAAACAGACTTCGGGGTTACACACAAAGTATTGCTCTACTAAGCCGAACTACTCTCAGCACATCACTGGTAAGCCCGCCTCCAGGGTAAATTTTTACTTTTTGCTGCTCCGATTTTCTCAGTCTTCCCCACTGTCAGATGTGCCCGGTGTGTCTATACTCCGCAGTTTCCCGGCTGAAACGCAGGCATGACGCTATCTTGCAGCGCAGGGCGAGGATCTGTTTGCAGTATCCAATCTACACGGCTTACATGCAGATACCGTGGCACGACTCAGAGTTCCGATACAACCTGCCGTGCAGCGGAATATGGTCAATTTCACAATAATTACAACGCTCAGCGTAGATCTGGGCCTGACGCTTTCTGCAGGTGACGTCTGCATCATTGAGATCTGGACTTCAAGTCAGGGGAGGCTGCGATGTAGCACTGCTGGACCACAATCTGTCATACAATACTTACTGTCCCGAGTTGGAAGGGCAACCTCCAGACTTGGGGTACCACGTCTCAATTGCCGTCATATTAGCTTCCTCGTTGCCTGGCCCGGGGAAGGTGCCGTCGTACACTCTCTGATGCTTCCTCCCTGCGCAAACTCTACAGATTCCGCCATGAACATCACACAACATTGAAGGTGGAAAGGGTTGTTTTAATCCAATAGAACCTTAGGAAAAGACTTCATTCACTATAATAATGCATATATCAACTGACTAGTAGTTGACAGTCTCATAGGTCACTGACGGCCGCGGTCTCATCCTCGACGGGCAAAACCAGGGCAAGTTGCACGGGATCGTCAATGTCCGAATCAGGAGCGAGAACCGAACCATCCGACAAAACCTGCCAGTCGGGTCCAAAGACAGCGTAATCCTGATCGGCTTCGATAAAGAGGCCTCCGTAGTATCCCTCGCCCTGGGAACACAGCTCAGTTAGTGACAAACACAACTTAGAGGAAGAGCAGCCAGTGAGTACACATACAGAAGACTTGACAGTGTAACGCCACGACAGGCCCGGCCCGCGCTCGTTAAAGGAAAGGCGGGTATTGCCGTCAGCGTCCTGGGAGACAGCCAACCAGCGCACCGGGCTGTGGGTGGTAGCGCGGGTGTATATGAAACTACCAGGTTCAATAACGCCGACACTAACGCAGTTGGATCGGTCGTTGGTGGGTGATACAACGGAGGCGAACTCGTTAAGACAGTCGCCGCTCGCGATTGTAATGTAGGCTTCGTTGATGGATGGGAGGGGCTGAGTTTTGAGCTGCGCCGTGGCATAGGAGAGGAGGCCGAGGCCAATCGTCATGGCTGAGTAGATGCGTGGGGGGGACATTGTGGTTTATAGTGTGGTAAACAGTGTAGCTGCGTTGTGGTAGACCGAGTAGTAGTGAAGTGAAGTGAAGTCCTTGTCTTTGAGATTAACCTGCCGGACTTGAGAGCTGCTTTATAGCATTCTGCTAGTGGATCCTTCCATGATAACTCACGGACTGGTGTAACCGGTGTATCTATACTCCGCTGCTCTCTCTGTCAATTAGCACAATGACGTTATGCTCCCCGACGTGACAGGGCTTGGATCTAAAAGCACTGTCTGAAAAAACTTGCATGCAGATGCCAAGGAGCAGATCCTGGTTTGTGAAAAGGCATGAGCCTGCCTGACGCATCCACAGGGTTCTGTCCATTCTGCCGTGTAACAGCTAGAAGGTTATGATTGGAAATAAGTAAGAATGCTCAGTCCTAAGTCCTCACTGCGGTCAGCGTCAGGGAGCAGCTACTGGTCTGCGAGAAGCCTGGTCCGCCCATTCCACCGTGTAACTGGTAGAGGATCGTTGTACCCAAAGGTGCGCCGACATTATCACCAGGCTTGGTCTTTGCCCTCCTTGTCCATTATTCTATTTGATCCAAAACCTCTCTACGGGTTCGTGGGACCTTGCTGGCTAGTTACCGCAACCTTGACGTTAAATTCCTACTACTTGATGTACAGTACCTATGTACATCATGGAGGTATAGAGACCGCACCCGAAGCACGTTTGACTACCTAACAAATCCAGGCTCTCCTAATCGCTGATATACTGTGCCCTTCCTTTCAAACATTCCCCTGCACAGGAAATCCAAGCCAAGTTGGAACCTTAAGCAGCCGCAGCCGCGCTCCGGTCAACAAGCACTAGTTGCACGGGGTTCTGAGTGTCCGAATTCGCAGCAAAGACCGTGCCATCTGGTGAAACCTGCCAGTCTGGTCCATAGACAGGGTCATTGGAAGCACGCCCGAGGAAAAGGGCTCCATAGCGTCCGTCGCCCTGGAACAGAGCCGAGTTAATAAAGTGTACAAATCATAGGTAAATGGAGGGTGGGAGCAAGTAAACATACCGAAGATGTTCCGTTGTGAAACCACCACAGGGTCGGGAAGATCGGACCTGGATTGAAGATAAGGCGGTTATTGTTGCCGGTGTCGACATCCAAGTAGCGCGCCGGGTTGCCCTGGTTATCGCGGTCTTCAATGTAACTACGTTCAACTATACCGACAGTGACGCAGTTGGACCGGTCGTCGTAGGGTTGTCCCAGATCGGCAAATGCGTTGATGCAGTAGTCGCTCGCGATTTCGATGTAAGCTTCCTCGAGGGATGGGAGATTGGTGCCTTGTGCCAGGGCGGATGGGAGGAGGCCAAGTCCGAGGGCAAGGCATGGATAGATGCGTGAAATCAACATTGCGGTGTGTAGTATCGTTAGCAGTGTAGCTGTGTTGTAGGGTAAAGGTTTTGGGAACTTCAAAACTGTAGACCAAGAAAAGTGAAGTCAAGTAAATTCCAGGATTCTGCTTGCGGATATATCTATGGTTTATTAGCTGACTCGTGTGACCGGTGCATCTATACTCCGTCGCTCTTTCTTGTACCACTTGAAAGGCAAGTTTTGAAAGATGAACTACTTGGCAAGGACTGCCAAGTCAATAGTTCAGATATAATATTGATGAATCCCACCACATGACAGTGCTCGGACTCGGGGGGCAGCACCTGAAATGTCCCAATTGTAGAAGATCCCCAAAATAAGTGAAAGAAATACCCTGATAATGCAGTTCCCTCTCGCGGCAGCATCATGGCAGACCGCCACCTTTGACACAGCCTTTTCCTCCGTAGGGTGGTCCCTAAACACCTCACTATGATGGTCCAGCGTCCTATCCCAGCCCGCACATTGCTAAACCTGCATAAAAAGCAAGACTATCGTCACCATTGCCGGCTCGAAAATACTTACCCCGAGGTTCCCGAAAACACCTTGGACAGGGGACACCCCTGCACAGGCAAGACAGGTGTTTTCCAGATCGGTTCTCGTGTATGTACTTGACCCAGTGGACATTGTGTCACCGTACTCAGATCGCCTCTCCGCGTGGTTCACGCCCAGCAAGCAAATGACGCCAGTCTCCCGATTCCATCCTAGATATCGAGGACAAGACTAATCACAGCACGGGATCGAGATAGGTTGACCCCAGGCCCCTCACAAATATCTCCCATCAATGGAGGGATCTCCCTGCTCCACATATAGACCGACGTTCTCCGTACATTAGACAGAAACTGGGTTCTGTCGCTCACCAAGTCAGCGCTGAAAGAGGGATTGGCGGTAGAACTAGCTCCCTGTCCTCTGGTACGTCATCAGGAGCAGTACCTGAGAAAAGTAAACATAATCCATCGAGTGACATTGCCGTACAAAGTTTGCCGGCTAGTCTACGCCCCCGTCAGAGAACATAAGGAGATACAACAGTTTCCTGCTGAATAAGATATCCTCGGCGTTCGTTGCCTTGTGTGGGGTCTGATGTTGAAATCATGCCAGAATGCCGGATGTATTCCAGCGCTCCCGCTGAATGTTTCATCATGGGTATTATTTTCAGGCGGCGGTGGTACCAAGCCTGACCCTGAGGCCATTCCCAGCTTCTGGTATACGCGCCACGAGATCGCTCTCCGTCAATGCATCTGGTACTCCTCCCTTGGCTGGGCAGGGATAGTTGACTCATATTTGTTCTTTGGTATTACGAAGATGTCTCCCAACACGACGTCCGAATGCTGGGAGGTATTGACTGATATTCTTGGTGGCATCACCCCCCTGTGGGCGCTGGTATTCTTCGGTTCCCCGGACTCCCCATCAACCGAGTTCATCCTTAGCAAATAGCAGCGGGTCATCGCCGATAGGAGAGTCTCTGCCAACGAGACAGGAGTCAAGACCAAGGTTTTCAACAAGCAGGAGGCCCTCACAGGATTCATCGATCCCAAGGCCATCCTCCTCTTCATCTCCGCTTTCGCCGCGGCCATTCCCAACGCCGTGGTCAACTCCTTCTCCACAATCATTGTCCTGGTCATGGGCTTCAGTACCACCAAGACAAGAGAGCTCAAATCTGTCGGTGACGCTCTTCAGATCATTGCCCTTCTCATCAGCGGGACGATCACGCTTAACGTGCCAAACAGCCGTCTGCCCACGGCGACAGCGGCCAATATCCTCTGCACCACTGCAGCAGCATGCATAGCTTATCTTAGGCATGGTACTTGGGTGAGGCTGGCTTGCTTAGGGTTTGTTAGTTCTCAGTCCGTTGAGTTTACAGTGTCCCTACTGATGATTTGATCGAATGTGGCTGGCTACACGCATCGACCGATGCCGAATGCTATGGTGCTGTAAGTCTGCCTCTTCAGTCGGAAAACATGCAGAGTAACACGAGACTAATCTGGTCCAGTACTGCTTACTACTGGGGCAAGTGCCCTGGCCTATTCCTGGTCAAGCAGCCGCAAGCTACGAAGGTGCCACGATCGGGTTGCTCGTAGGGTACCATACTCGATGAAACCTGCATGCCACCTCACATGATTATGTATTTGCCCGGCCCAGGAATGATATAAGAGGACATTCCCTGAGATGTTCGTAGTGCAGCGTCTGTGTTTACTGTAAACCGCTACCGTGACCCCCACTATGGGCCAGCTGATAAGGCTCAGAACGATGAGGCTGGCATGGAGGACAAGACGGGGTTTGCGAATATTAACTTGCCATATGTTCTGTAGTTCTTCTGGAGTTTAAATTAGAAGATCATACACTGTCTCTTCGCGGGGCAGGGTATTAACCAGGGGTCATTCCCATGTGGAAATATATTTAGGGCTCGGCGCATGATTCCCTTACAATCAAGTCCTCTATCATCATAGGACATGGTCCAGCAATCCCAAAGCTCTAACGCATGGCCAATCCCTCGAGCCATCAATAGCAAGCAAATCAGCGACCAGCGCCTCATTCCGCTCCAGGACAACAACATGCTCTTTCTCCTCCCCATGAACATCATACAAAATCCGCGCCGTAACCCTCCCATCACCCCGAACATCAAAGCTCACACCCTCCAACACCTCCCCTGCCCCCTCGAATCCCCTCTGCAGCCGCATCCTCAACGCCTCCTCCAGAATATCCGCACACATACTCGCACTCAAGAACCCCTCCTCAGCACCCCACTCCCTCGCCGCCGTGATAGCACGACACCCCACCCCGATATCCGGACACCTAAGGGCCGCCAGAAAAAGCGCCGGCACGATCTCAGACTGCGGCGTCAACGTCGGACTGTCGCCATGCATATCAGCCTTCACATTGCGCATCGCGTTCTCCGCGGCGTCCAGCACGCCGATTGATTCGGCCGTGTACTGCGGCGGCTGGGCCTGCGCGGCTCCTAGCAGCGCGTTCTTGACGCTGAGGATCGAGCTCAGCACCGACAGACGCGTGAGCTCGGCGCCCCGGCGGGCCCGTCGCTCAGCTGTGTTCACCTCAGCTCCCGACAGACCCCGGCTGCACGCGGACTCGAACGTAGTCGTCCCATACGTGCTCAGGCAGAACGCATCGAAGACGTGCAGGAACCGCGTGAAGTATGTCAGGAGCAGATGCTGCTGGTTCTCGAGAGCCGTGTACATCGCAGCGCGCTCGGCATCGTCGGCATGCATGCACTTCGCGACGAAGAGCCACAGGGTATGCTGCAGCGGGCTAAGGACCTTTCGTGCTTGCTGGAGGCTGCTGAAACATGATCCCGCCCCAGCCCCAGTCCCGTCTGTGCAATCACCCAGATAAACGCCATACGGCTGCGTGAAGACAAACGACTGGTCGACGGGGAGTGGTTCCCTCGTGCCAAAGAACACGCTGCTCCCCTGCAGACTGAGGAAAGATTCCACGACCAACTCGTCGAAGGCGCTTGGGCCGGTGAGGTTCAGCCCGCACACATGGCGTTCGATCTTCAATGCGTTGAGGATCCGCAGCCCGCTCTGCACGTGTGTGATGGCGGTCGCGATGTTCCGATGGAGGAGTTCGCACATCACGAAGAGCAGACAGCAGACCAGGATCACGGTTTGGAGGTAGGGGTCTTCGGACATGCGGCGTTTATTGAGCAGCGCAAATGACCGGCCTGATTGTTCGAGCGCGAAGAGGTACCATTCCTCCTGACTCTGGAGGGTCTTCCGGTGTGCCGGACGAGGATTGTGCGCCAGGCGTCGTCTAGCGCTTTCATGGCCTTGATTCACGGCTCCTAGGGCAACGACGGCGTGGAAGACCGCGGGCTCATTGTAGCACAGTTGCAGAATCAGGCGCTGCCAGACGGGCGAGTCGAAGAACGCCACGAGCTGCGGGACGGAGCGGTATTGGAAGAATGAGAGGCACCGGCTTTCATCCGATGTGACTTTCCACTGCACCCTGGAGGAAATGTCTCGCTGCAGAGTGGCCAGGCTGGGATTTTGAATGCAGACGGAGGCTGCGGAGGCCTTGGCCGTTCGGGGGCCGCGCGCAGGTGGGATCCGGCAGACCTCGTACCCCTCGCAGATGCGTTTCGTGCTGGTGCAGTTGGTGCATTGCCCGGGGGTTTCGTCGCACTTGATTCGGCGGGCGCTGTAGATGGGTTTAGTTTTAAGCCACCTGCAGCAGGGATCGATGGTATACTCACCGACATGTCCGACAGCCTGTGCGGGAGCGTTTCGAAAATCGTTTGACTCGTCCATGGCCATCGACGTTATCTGAAGGTGTAGCGCTCTTCATTGTTACTGGAGCCATTGTGAATCCCTTGAGCGGGTATAAAAAAGTTCAACGTTGGTTGCAAGTGTCCCCTTAAATGGCATCTCCGGATCGACACTGACCCCAACGGGGCAGCCGATGGCGGGGACCTCGGGACAAGCATTGACACTGTGCGGCTGTGCCTCATTGCAAGATCTCCCAAACAGCCAATGACAGCTTCGACACAGACCTGCACTAAAGCTTGGTGTCTAGGCGGCCGGATTGTGCGCGATTTAGTGTCGATTACCACACGACGGAGCCTCAGCTTCGGCGAATCCGCCATGTCCGCCATGTCCGCGAATTTGCCGAATCCCGATGGCTCGCAGGGAGATACGATCTCGCAAATATCATAGGCTACCACCAGGCCATCGACATGGCTGGCTGAAATCCGTCTCGCGGGATGCACCCATGCCATGCCCTAACTAAGCCGGAGTAGGGATGGATCAGGCCTACCCCAATATATGTGGCCCACTTGGCATCTGAAATAGACGATGGAGCCAATGACAAGGACGCTTATCTGCTGGGCAGTATTCTAATCCCTCCACCTGGGTAGCGGCTCAGGGCAGGCTGCCATATAAACCGGAATCCCGCCTCTTACAGAATGGGCCAGACATCGCACCTAGCCCTACGCAGCCGGCAATCCCATAAACCTGTGCTGCCCGTGAGGGGCTTCACCTTTACTTCCTCCGTGCGAGACCTGAGTTCCCAAACTCGCCCGACCCCGTCGAAATCACAAGAGTTCCTGAAACTCGTCAAGGTGAGGGCTGCTGTGGTAGCCCGTGAGCTACCTATATTTATGGACGAGTTAACAGGCCTGCCCTGTTCCTCGATACTGAGTCCATTGACATTTCGGTATTGACTTGGCTCGCAATGTGACCCTGTCCTCATGCTCCGAGTACTACTGCCATGTCCGCTGTGTACCCTTACCAAGTCGCCGGGATGGTACTAAGGATTCCGAGACTTCGCCCCGACAGGGAACCATTGCATACGCAAAACATTTCGCACGATATATGTCGAGTCCTCCGACATGAATACAGATTAGCGCCACGCCTTGTAAGCTCTCGACCCTGGAAGGCGGATAGGGCCGGCCCGGCTGCTGCGGCGAACTCCGGGTCGAAATGCAGCGGCATGATGAAGCCTGCCCGGCTGCTGCGGCGAACTCCGGGTCGAAATGCAGCGGCATGATGAAGCCTGCCCAGGGGTGGGAATGTGACACGCCGAGCAATATTCTTAAGCACTAAGGGTTGGCACTTGGCGTCGGTGTCCGAGGACATACATGTCATGTCCTTGCTCGTTGGCAACGGCCAACGTCCAGCTGGAGCTGCAGTATCCCTAATGCCAGGCTCACGGGCCTCCATTGCTGACATGTGGGGGGAGGAGAAAATGAGCGGGGGCACCAACTGGCTTTAGCGTATGCGTAATCCACTTAAGCCACTCGCCCAAACCCTGGGACGGGGAGCGGGAAAATGAGAGACCTTACCTGCACGACGTGATGGAAGTCGTGAATACCCTCGCTGCCACAGATACGGTGTCCAAGCCTGTGCCATCGCAAAATCTCCAGAGTCACTATAGTAGGTAGGTAACTGCTTAGCCTCCACCGCCGCACGCGGCTGAGGCTATACCGGGCGCTTAGATTGCTCGCTCTGTAATGGTATCTCTTGATGCTGAATGTGTTGATCACCGCGGCCTATCTAGCCCTACCAGAGACCCTACTTAGGACTACCATGTCACGACGGGCTAGTGTGCAAGCACGGAGATGAATTTGGAAGACGAGTGTGCACGTTCCATCCAGCTTCGGGTTTCCGTCAAGTCCTACACCTTGGCTACCGTAGTACACATCGCTGCGGTTCAGGCACCGAGGTAGTTATATCCGGAGACGGTGGAATCCAGCTGTTACATTGTCTGGACCAAGGGCTGCAGTATAACTGCCATATTAGGAATACAAGTGCAGATACTCGGCCAGCGGAACGAGCTGTCAACGCCCGGTTATGGTGACGTTAGGCGATTGGCGTCCGTCGGCGTGTGCAACAAAGCCCGGAGTATGAGTGGATAGCCGAATCTGCAGCACAAGGATGACCCATGGATGCACCCCGTATGCGGGTTGTCCCCGGACCTACCATACCGCTGTCCTACCATCCCTTCATGCAGACCCAGGCTCTGCGTGTGCAGCATTGCTTGGAACGCTGTCAATAGCCTATTGGCCCCCGCCTGACAAGCGGAAGTCCAGCCGTCATCTACTTATAATGGCTCGGGTGCTCACCTTGTCTAGACAGGAAGCCTTGACAGCAACTCACCGTTGTGTCTTCTCCGTCTCTGGAACAGCAGGTACCATCCCCGACCGTGATCAGATATCGCACCGCCGAAGCCATAGACCAGCAAGTTCAAGCACACTCCAAGAACAATGTGGGGTCTCAAGCTCCCATCCGACACACCCATCGTCCTCGCCGTCTTCGGCATCCAGGCCCTGCCCTCGAACAACGCCGGGACTCTCATCGAAGCCTTCGACACCCTGATCTCCCCCCATGCCCCGTCCATCGAGAACCTAGAGCAAAACGACCCGGTCGCAACACGGCTCTGGCTCTCATACTGGCCGTCCCGCGCATCGTTCGACGAATGGTGGTCCAGCCCCCCCGTCGCATCCTTCTGGTCCTCACTCCCCGATGACGCCGGCGTATACCGCGAGATCATGACCGTCCCGCCCGGCCGCACACAGCACGGGACCAATGTCTTGAAACAGCACAACGGCATGGCAAAGCTGGGAGTCTTCGAGGATATCGGCGATAAGTCGGGGTACTGGGGGTGCTACTACGATCGGATGGCGGACGTGACAAGGGAGAGGAGGAACGAGTTCCGGTCGTCGACGGAGACCCGACCTGCCCGTGTCTCTGCTCTCGCTGGAACCCCAGCGAATCTTCACCGGGGCAGGGTCACGATCAACGACCTGCCAGAAAACATCGCCTTCGTCGTCGAAGGCCAGGACCACAGCCTTATCCAGTCCAAGGAGAAAGAATACTGGATGGAGCACTTTGATCAGCCCGTCACGAACTGGATAAGGGACCTCGTCGACGCAGGGCCGCAGGCAGGCATCCTGGAAACACGCCTCTGCTACGACCCCAGCAAGGGGCTCTACCGATCTCCAAAGGCACAGCCGCCCGCGCTCAACTACAACCGCAAGGTGCAGCTCTTCTATTTCCAGGACTTCGAGGCTATGGAGAAGATCGGGCGCGAGAATAAGGGGCATATCAAGTTGAGACGGGAGTTCTTGCAGTCTTATGGGCCTGGGGGTGCGATGGGGGAGTTGCCGGGGAAATTGTGCTTGTGGGTTGAGGCGAGTTTACTCAAGGCGTCGGAGATTGAGGCTGAGTATGTGGGCTGTGTTGAGGGGACCGGGTTTATGGGGTTGAGCTGGGAATGAGAAATATAGTCAGGACAATTTCGGGAATCAAGGGCTAGATTCGCTTGATATGGGAAGGGAGGGGATATATAGCCATGCGTGTCTAACTATGTTGTATACCGCCATTGCCCCAAATAGCTCTTGACGCGGCATATTTGAACACACTCGACGCACCTAGTAAGCGAATGCCAGAGGTAAGATATCATGACTCGTAGTTACGGAGTAGCCAGTTCCAAATAGCAAAGCAGCGGCGGCCCTATGTCACCATCCCTCTGTCGGCCTGCATGGCAACATCGTACCTATATGTGCGAGCAATGACTGAGACGAAGAACCAGATTCCCTGGGTAGGATGGCTGCAATGAAGAAGCGTCCCTGAGACGTGATGGTTCCTCGGCGCTTCAGCCCTTCCACCCCGCGCCCCCCTCCTTTCGGTCTTGGGCCGACTGCTGCATGAGCGGGCTTCGATAGCCAGTAGACGGACTCGACGAAAAAGCAACGCCATTACCACAGCGCCCAACTGTCCACGAAGGACACCCAATCATGTTTCGCCACGCCTGTGGGAAGTCACATTGCTCGGTCTCCGGGTCCACGGGTGGGAACCCTAGTTCCAACCTTACCTTTGGTATCAAGGCCAGTCCCCAGAGACTCCTGCTGCCTATTATCCAACCATATTGACCTGTTCATCTCTTTGTCGGTACCCAAGCCACTCCTGCCGGATGCTTTCACTGGAAACTGCATGTCGAATTAACCGACCCCTGCGGACGCCTTCGGGGTCGCGTCGTATAGGTTAGAGCTTAAACCACACCCATGGCGGCTGAGACAGTGGCTTGCCTTTGACTCACCTTATTTACATGGACTCTGCTTATACCTGCAGGATCTGTCACGTGCAAGGTGTTTGTTTACAGACGCGAGCCTTGCAATCCTTCGCTCATCCCCCGCCTTTTTACAATCATCCTGCTGATCATGGCCTCGCCGTCCATCCTATCCAGAGGCTGTCTTCGGTACGAGATCCACTCCCGTTCCATCATGAGCCTCGTAGCCTAACGTTCTATAGGACAATTATCGAAGATCCCTACTATGCATCATGGTTCTGGCAAACGCCCAGGGTACAGTGCATCCACGTCAAGACATCCCCACCGGGAGATGAGAACGCCGGCCGCAAGATCGTGGTCCTAAGCGACGGCATCAATTTTCTCTGGGCCATGCTTAGCTCGACGTTATGCACCCTCCTCGACAGGGACGGCGAGCATGTGGTCAAAGGGTGCATCTGCCGGATTGAGCATTGTACGGCGATGACCATCAAAAATAGAACGCGCGTTGGCCCACACATCCGCACCTTGGTCATTTCCATCCATCTCTCATGTTCTCCCGCTGACTTGTCCCAAGCGTACTGGTAGTCACGACCATGCACGTTGCCACGCGTTTCGGGGCCTTGCCTAAGATTGGCAGGCCTGGACGCCTGGATGTCGTGCTTCCACTGCTCGATGACCAGATCTGGTTTGACGCAAGGCGCACGGGTGCATCAGATGGCGGACGCTTGTTTTCTATGCTTCCGACGGAGGTTCTGCATTTGGTGCTTGCGCATCTGGACCAGGTTGATACACTTTCCCTTGCAATGACCGCGAAGATGTTCCATGCACTTGTGGGCGGCTTGATCCCCTCGCAGGTGAGCTTAACAAGCGAGCAGGGAATATCAAAGTTTGCAGAGGCTATGAACATTCAGCCTGGTATCCGCAATGTTGTCAGGAGCTATTCGGTGAAGGTAAACGGGGCAGCGCCAGCAGCTCATGTACAGATTGTGCAAGACCTCCCGTTGCTCCGTGATTGTCATATTGAGGTTGAGCACACATCTGGGAGCAGCTTCCTGGACATGCTCCCAGTCCTGCAAAGACTATTATCAAGCCAAACAAGCCAGTGCCTAAAGTCATGTACGCGCAACCACACCCCTTGCCCGGTCTTCTCTTGATCTAACGCCCGGCACCCGTGCTAGTCCACCTTGTTATCAATCCCAGCGGCACAACGGGGTGGACAGACGATGCGCAGAGCAACATCCTGCACACCCTCTTCCTAGCTCCATCCATCCCGCATCTAGCAGTATCCTATCGCACGCGCAGCGAGGACGAAGCCAACCATGTCCGGGTCCGACCACTCACTTTCAGGCCCCCAGTGGTCAGCGCCCACGTTGCCAATGCCACACGCCTGCAAAGCCTGAACCTGCAGTGGGAAGGCCTGCAGCTCCCCGCCCTGGCCATCCTCCTCAGGCTCCATCGCAAACTGCACACTCTCAAACTCGTATTCAGCAGCCGCGCCCGTCGTGTGTCTACCTCGCTCGACGCTGCGCTAGCGCCGCTCGCGGAAACACTGCAGACCCTCCATATTCGCATCACAGACCTCCCTTCCATAAAGCTGGTGGGACTGCGTTGGGGCCCACGCTTTCTATCCCCGTTCGGCACCCTGCAGCATCTGCGCCTACCAGCGGCGTTCCTGGCCTACGTCATATCGCAAGACCATGTCAACACCGTGGATGGCGATAGCGGTTCCATGGCCGAAACGGCGGATAAGACCAATGTGCCCCCTTTGTGGCTTCCCCCTTCGCTCATTAGCATATGCTTCAACACGGCCACGCTTGATGAAGCACCTGCAGACAGAGACCCAGGCAACGAGAGTATCAGCACGAGCTCGGCCACCAAGTCCCAGAATCGCTCTCGCCAGCCGCAGAGTGTCACCACCGACCCCGCAACCACATCGGCCCTGACCTACGTCTGCACCCTGCTGCACAATAACCTCCTCCCCCGTTTCCGCGATGTCGTCTTCGACCCGGACAGCCACCAGCACACGCTCAACCCCTTGACTCTGCGAGTCCGCCCACCAATACTGTGTCTGGAGGAGGGGCTACGGCCACTTGTGGACCGGGGGATCCGCACGGTGGTTGAGTTCGAGTCGTTCGAGGATACTGTGTTGCAGGTCAGGTGTGGGAGGCATGTGAATAAGCACCCATAGCTGGGAGCCCTGGCATATGACCTGTACAGTGCGCGGATGCGATGAACATGTGCTCTCTAGAAAACATCACTGAGTTCACGTGGTGTGCTGGACTTCCAGTGGCAGATATATATAATGTGGACTCTCGTCCTCAGATCTGGGAATTGCCTGTGTAAAGATCACTGTTGGGTACTAATCGAGTCGAGCTTAAACTCGAAAGATGGATGGATTGCTGAAACGACGTCATGGCCTGGGCGAGCTCAGATAGAATAGCGAGTTTAGTTTTACAATGTATCGTTCCATTCGCTCCGTTTTTTATGGAAGTGGAGACGGCCGCTGGTTGGGTTCAGGGTGCTACGGTTTGCCGTTCGAACTCATGCAATCCGATGCGCGCTCTCAGGCGAACCGTGGCTCTTTCCCTTTTCAATGTTTTCTTGATATTCGTTATTCTCCCTGTTCTGGGGCATCTCCCTGGGAGACTGATGCTTCTATTCATCACATATTGATTATCTGCATATATTGGCGTGTTCTCCTTAACCCCTGCAAAATATGGCAGGCTAATCAACTCCCTGAACACCAAGAATCACACGACTCTCTCCCAGTCCACCGCGCCTATGCTGCGGTAAATGACGAAAAGTTTCAGGGTGCATCTCTGCCCCTGTTTTGAATCATCCTGACACAGCTTGGCAGGGCGAAGCGGGCCCTCACCCTGAAACAGCCCTAACTCGGTATCTCCTCCGCCTTGGCTCATTCCACAAGCCTTATATAGATCAGGAAACCCCCAGGAACTGAAAGGACATCAGTGCAGGCACAGTCATTCTTTCAAAATGTCCCCTTCCACCAAATACCGCTACGCCCTCGCGGCCCTCTTCACCACCGGAGCGCTGGCCGCTCCAGCGCCCCAGTTCTGGCCTCCCCAGTGGTTCCCACAGGCACAGGCACAAGGTCAGGGTCAGGGCCAGATCACAACCCAAGCCCCAACCGAAGCAGCCAGCACAAGCACCCTCTCCACCGCAAACTTCGCCGCCGCAACCACAACTCCCACCGTCGCAACTTCCAGCACCCCCAGCAGCTCATCCTCCAACTCAAACGAACCCAGCGAATTCACAGCCAACCCCTCCATCGGCGGCGGCGGCACAACCTACACCGACTCCGCGCGCTTCCGCATCTACGGCGCCACCGGGTCCTCCGCCGACGCAGCCCTCCAAATGCTCGAGGCCGCATACACCTGCTTCGTGACCGACCTGGGCTGGCGCTCCTCAGGCCTAAGCTACAACTCCGACGCCGACACCGCAGCCACCTGGTACAAGGAGAACGTGTACAGTGTCTCTTCTCTCGACGGGAACGCCGCAGGCGTGATGAACTCAGATATGAGCAGCGGCTACAGCTACGTCAACGTGGTAAACACATACCTCACAGACCCCAGCGTGACAGTCCACGAATACGGACACGCGCTCACCTACCACGTGGGCAACTGGGTGGACCAGACGTACACGGGCGCGTGGTGGGAGCCGCTGGCGAACTGGTTCGCGGATACGTTCATGACGAGCGAGCTGTGTGCGCGTGCGCGCGCGGAATACGGGCAGAGCGCCGGGACAAGCGTCATTGAGCTCGCGAAGGTCGTTGGTGACAGCTACCAGGTTATTGTTGACGGGTCCACCGACACAGGCAATTACTACCAGGCGTGGCCGCTGCTGACGTACATGACCAACAACCCGGATAACTTCACGGGACTGGGGACCGACGCCGTCCTCCAGCTGAACAGGCAGTATGAGGTTGGGAGCAACGAGACGCCCCTGCATACGTTGCAGCGCTTGCTGGGGGATACGCCGATCGGCAGTGTGATTGGGCGGTATTGGGCGCATATGGCGTATGTGGATATCAGCGAGGCGGCGAATGAGGTTTTCTTGCAGCAGCGCGACACCCTCACTTATGGGAATCTTGAATCTTCGGGGTCGGGGAGCTACAAGGTTAAGAGCGCGCGGCAGCCGCAGTATTTCGGGGCGAACATTAACCCGCTTACGCTTGAGGGGTCGGGGAGTGTGAGTGTGGAGGTTTCGTCTGATGCGGCGTTTACGGCGACAATGGCGATTCGCAATACGGACTCGGGGGTGGTGCGGTATGTTGATTTGGAGGGTGGGAAGGGCGAGGTCACGGTGGGCGAGAGCGAGGAGGCGAGTCTTGTTGTGGTGAACACGCCCGAGGAGCTCATTCAGTATAACCCGTTTGAGCTGAGCAGTGAGGTGCAGGTTGGGCTGGACTATTCGGTTACGGTTACTGGGGCGAGCTTTTAGGTACGCCGCGGTGTGGTTGTGTATGTGGTATCTCCGATGTGTAGAGAAGGTGTGTGGTTGTGTTTATGTACTGTTAGAGATCTTCGGGAGACATGGCAGACGCCTGATACCATGTATGCCGATGGCAACAAAGTATCGCCTACTCATCGATAAACCCGTTGGTCTGAGTGTGATGAGCAACATAGGTAGCGGTGTTTATTGTCTTAACCAGGGGATATCTATCGATTGTCGGTGAGGTGTAGTCTATGCACCATCGATTAAAAGACCGCCCAGGCAAACGAGAGCTGGCAACAAACGCTTTGCTAAGATGCACGGCGCCTAGAGTCCGTGACGTGGCAGTCCTCTAGCGAGACCTATCCAATACTGAGTCATTCAGCGCCCACCCACTCGATGATCTGGATCTGCAATCGCGAGGATCCATTGGTCCGCAAGGGAAAGTCTATGACGACAATTGACGATCATGCAGGACCCCAAGTCAAGCCACCAGGGAGAGCATGGCTATAAAGAGACCAAGCCTCCCCTTGTTCGGCTGCGGTCGATCGACCCCCTACATCAACAATGTCTCCAGACATTCCCCAAACACTCTTCTCTGCCGGCGTCCTCCTCGCCTCATACCTCACCTACCGCTGCCAGCAACCGCCCAACCCGAATCCCAGTGCGGCGAAACAATCAAATGCGGACCCCTTCACCCGCACCAAGGTACGCCTCCAGCTTCATATTCCCGTCCGCAGACAGGGATAAAGCTCGGATGATCAGAACCACAGCTAACATACCACAGTTCACCCGTCTAATCGCCTACCAAGGCACCCTCTTCCTCCTCCTCGGCACCATCCACGCCCTCCTCCCTCTCCTCCCTCCTCAACCCCACGCATCCGTCTGCCCAGCGCAAAACACCCTGAACCCCTCCCTCTTCACCTGGTCGCCACGCTCAACAATCCTCCTCACCCTCACAGTCCTCGGCGGCACCCTCCGCCTCCTCTCCTTCGCCCACCTGTCACAGAACTTCACCTTCGCCGTCGCGCGGCCCTCGCGCCTAATCACGTCCGGCGTATACGCCTACATCCAGCACCCCGGTTATACAGGCGGGATCCTCGCGCTGGCTGGGTTCAGCAGGCTGGTTCTTCGCACGGACGGCGTGTTTGCTTGCTGGTCTGGCACCAAACTGTGGTCCTGCATATGGGTATTCGTGTATGCGAACAAGGCGTTTGTTGAAGTGTTTGTGTTCTGGGTTGTTTTTGTACGCGTCCCGAGTGAGGAGCGGATGCTACGGGATGCGTTTGGGGCGGAGTGGGAGGGGTATCATGCGCGGACGGCGCGGTTTGTGCCGTGGGTGTTGTAGGTGTGGATGAGTCGGGTGGGTGTCGTTGTTGCGTGCGCGGGTTTGGGGATGAGAGTCTGCCCGGTGATGAGGTCGTATTATTGTGCTTGATCAAGATGTCAGCAGTCTAGCCAGGTCAATCTTGCCAGTCAGGCAAGTGTTCTCCACTCCGTACTGGCCGTTTGTCCATTAAAGCTGCCAATCAAGCAGGCCATTATTCTGTTCAACATCCACGCCGGCTGTGATATGAGATCACGTTGATCTTGAGGACGAAATGAGCGGCTGGTTGCTGTTCTGCCTGCTCTTGGACTCTCAAAAGACCGGTACTGTCTGAGCGCTGTATGACTATAGATGGAGCATGTTGCACAGAAGCCCACCGAATCAGCTTCACGGATGAGCACAACCGAGATATGAAACCCAGGTACCTAGGCGCAATGACAATGTCACCCGCACTGCGGCTAAAAGCACAGGGGCTTGGACTCCTGTCCGTATGGATTCTTATAAACAAGGTAATGTTACGTCAAGGACGTTAAACCAGCGATGATTTCCGTATCCTCCAAGGAATAGAAGTAAGGTTTTCCTTGCTACAGGAGACAATCAAGACCATTATATATGGTACCATGGCTTCCGCTGACCCTGAGCAATTGTATAAGCGCCCAGCCTCTCCTATAACTGAACGACATCAAACATGATCTCACAGGCAGAGAGAAAACAGATATTTCATGTAATACTTCCAGACCTTGAAACAAAGACCACCTCCGGTCCATCCTCGGATAGATACCACTGGGGTATGGATGTATGCGTTCCAACATTGAATTCCTACACAGGTGTCAGAGAACATCGGCCAAGGTAGCACGCGATACATCCATTAAAGCTCCCAACGAACCAACCATCGCAACCTCCAATCCCCTTCGCCATCTACTCAACTTCCTCCGCCGTAAACGTCAGAGTAACTCGGCTAGCCCCCGAGATATCCTCATTGAAAGCATAGACGCGCCCGCCGTCGCTCCCATCCAGCCTCGTGGACCAGGCAGGTCCATAAACCGGCTGCGCGTTCCCACTCTGCCGGGCATCGAACAGCGCAAGCTCGCGGTACGTGTTGCTTTGCTCATCCTAGTCCATGCCTTCGCGTTAGCGTGTTCCTTGCCGTGCGATATACACAATGGTACCCACCACACGTACGCCTCTCCACTGCAGTCCATCTGCGCGGTTGTTGAAGACAAGCTCGTACAGAGCAGATCCGCCTGCTGAGGCCTCGACGGTGAGGAACTCGCGTTCGTCTTCATCACCACCAGGGTTGGGGCGGAGCTCGAAAAGTCCGCCGTCCGCGGTGTATAGCTCCTCGCAGACGGGCCCGTTGGTTGCGGTCGGTGAGATGAGCGAGGCGTTGCCGATAAGGCAGTAGGTGTTTCCGCTGGAGTCGGAGCTGACGGTGGCGGTGATCTGCCCGTCCAGGTCGGCTGGGAGAGCGATGAAACGGGGGGAGGGGCTCTGTGCGCTTGCTAGGGTGAATAGAGTCAGGACAGCGGTTAGGTGGGTGGGATGCATGATTATAGTGTTTAGACTTGGTACTGTTGTGGCTGAGTGGCAGGTGGATAATATGCGCAGATGCCGGTGACGGTAGGTAGGATTTCGGAGAAACGGTGGAGGGCCCTGCAAGTGGGATGTTGCTCTCCTATATAGATTGACAGGGGCGGCGTCCTGACGAAAAAAGCACTTAACATGTAGGTTCAGCAATACTGGGAAGTACGCATGCATTTCTGTGAATGATGGGCTTGCTTATGCTTTTGGATGTCAATGTTAATTTTGTCACCCAATCCCTGCACAATTTCAATCTGTGGCATGGCACAAGGGATAATAGCAGTAATAACTGGCATTAAACAAGATAACATTGCATAATCAGACATCAATATGGGCCTTCAGCTTCCTACACCTAGGTACAAGTTTAAGTGAAGGAACCCAGGAACCATCCATTCATGCAAACACAATACCAAACACAGCACACACAAAGCCCTCAACAAATCAAATATCAATACCTGGAAGTTGCAGCTCCCTAAATGTCAGACTAAGTTGTCTCATCCCCGGAATATCCCCAGGGTCATTATCATAAGCATAGACGCGCCCGCCTAGTCCCAGAGGCATGTACCAGACAGGTCCATAAACCGGCGCCGCTTCCTCGTCCAGGTTCTCGGTATTGAACACCGCAAGCTGCTGGTATGTATTGCTTCCGTCATCCTGTAGCCAGTGCCTTAGGGTTAGCCTTTGTTCTGCAGGTCCCGTCCGGTATGCACTAGGTAGGGTACTTACAGCGCGAATGCCCCTCCACTGCTGCACAGACGGATCAAACTGGTTGCTAAGGAAAATCTCGTACGCATTAGATCCGCTGCTTGAGGGGCGGACGGCAAGGTCGTTTGGCAGTAGATCAGGTATGATGCGTGAGATCATTCCGACAGCAGGGGTGTCAACGGGCGTGCAGACGAGACTGCCCGCCACCGGGATAAGATTGATACTGAACCTGCCGTCGGCAAGCAGGCAGTATTCAATTCCGCTCGAGTCGCTGGTCTGGCCACGAACCTGCCCGAAGATGCCGAGTGGGAGCGCGGTCCATTGGGACCAAGTCTGGGCTTTCGATAGAGCGCATAGGGTCAGGATTCCGGCCAAATAAGGGCGTGTGAAGAGCATCGCGAGGTTGTTCAGGTTTGGTGCTCCTGTCGCTGGGGGCTGGGTGTATCAACCGGCGTGGTTGGGGATGGTGCTATCTAGGTAACCAATGTGGAATCAAGGATCTGTGGGAAACAACTGGCTGTCATACCCACTGAGGTCTCGCCACTTTATATCTTGACTCCGGGGCGGCGGCCTGGGAAAAAGCACTTTTCATGGGCCTCATGACCCTTGCCAACTACAGGAGCCACATCAGATCAGGCCGTGTGACTCGATCTGACCTCGTAAGTGCTTACCCATGATCTGATCTAAAAAGTAATCTACTCTGTTGTTCATGGGCTTCCGCAGGTCATCATAAAAAGCAATGAACCAATCACCAACATCTCGTGACCCCCGTCAGACGTACCCCGGCTTGAAGGAACAGGTTGCACAATTGCATCACCCATGCAGGGGTTCCCCGGGGGCCCCGCTAAAGATTACCCTATCTCCATAAAGGTGATGCCGCACTATGCCCAAAGTGACAGCTCTATCAGTTGCATAGATGTCACCGACTAGCTCAGGGAAGGGTGGTCTGCTAGAAACTAGTTATCTCGTCGACGGCAGAATCACCCCTGGCTTATGTGGCAAGCATGTTGAGCTTCCAAGATTACGCAGTGCTGAAGTAGTGCTTATGTGCCATGCACAATTCAAGGCTATCTCACGGCGTTCAAACATGGCCTATCACGCCGTAAGGTAAGCGGTGCAGATCGACCAGTAGGTGAGCGTGATGAGGCGAGGGATAGATCTGTGAGACCCTGCAGACCCCGAGTTGCTGCCCCTAGACAAGGTGTCCGCAACCACCTTCCCTTAGCCACTATCCTTATCCAGCTGGAGATACGCAGGAAGTCACCTTTGCGATCACCCCTGTTCCCAGTGCCCAAGACTATAGTAGTGCCATGGATGAGCTCCTCGTCATCACTTGCCCCCCTTCGCAGGTCATATGCCCGTCTCCTTATTCCTGTTGCCAAAGAATCGGCTCGTATCGCCCAGCGGTAGATCCAGGAGCGAATCTTGCAGTAGTAGATGGAAGCCGATATACCACCCGATCAGACCCGCAACGAAACAGAAAGCACCCCCAGCTTTCTGCAGCGCCACAGCTGACCCCGCATGTCCGTCAGCTTCAGCGAAGTAGCTTGTAGCCACAGTCAAGAAGCCCAGATCCACAAAGAGAAAGACCATTATATACGCAATGTTACTCGGCAGCGAGGCAATCAGGAATGTGAACACAAAGACTTTCAATATGATCATAAAGAAGCCGACGGCGTTGTCGTACTCGGCTGTATCGGACCCGCCATATGCCGGCGCGACGCCGAAGGCAGGGGTGAGACGGGCGCCGTAGACAGTCTAGAATTACTCTCCATCATATTAGAAAGCGTCGGCTCATGTCCTCTTTCAGGCTCGCGCAATGCACGCACCAAACGCTGAACACTGTGTAGGCGAACACATTCCCAATGCTCGACCCCCACTGCGCTGAGATGACGAGGCCAAATGCCGCAATGCAGGAGACGGTCCGAGTGTCATGGGCTTTGCATGGTGACGCGGTAGCGGGTTACCCTGGCGCTCGACGTCCACCGTTGGGAGTTGTATCTTCACTAGGCCCTGTTGACGGCATCCTGATAGGTGGTATTGTGTGTGTTTCGAAGTAAATAGATTGGGCAACTCATAAGCAACATTTAGAGCAAAATCAGTGGGCGGTATATGGACACACATATGCGTAGGTATGCACGAGCGATGAGGTGCAGAAGCACCAATCTGATGGAATGTTCGGGCAGATTACCGGCGGAGTGGGGGACAAGGATACGATCCACGGCAGCAGATGCTGTTGGGTATGAAATCCTGAACATTGGACATCGGAATTAGCACAGGGACTTGGCTGTGTGCGGTATGATAAACGTTAGAATGAGATGCTTTGTCTTGGCCATGCTTCTGTTCTGTCCTAGCTTTGATATTAGCATGTTTCTCTTGGAGATAAAAGCTTAGAGATTGTATCTAGCTAGGCCACGATAGTGAAGCTATACTTAGTGTGACTAACTAAGCTAATAAGTAAGGGCTATAATAAGGCAAGTAATATATTATATTTTAATACCCCTTTTGTTATAAGCCCTACTAAAAAAATAAAGTTAAATATATTTTTTTAAATAAAAAGTAAATAATAAAATATAAAGTAATAAAAAATAAATAAGGTATTATAGTAGGCTATTATTATATATAAGTAAAATAAAAATTAAAATAAAAAATAATAAAGCTATTTAAAAATTACCTTTTTTATTAAAGTGTTTTATACTAAGTTATTTAATAAAATAAAAATATTAAACCTACTTAAGGGTCTTGGTAAGGTTATTAATAACTTATTTTTTAATAATAATATAAATAAATTTAATATTACTAGTAGCTATTTTTTTATAAATAAAATAATATTTAATTATTATATATTTTATATAAGTATAAAACTTTAAATTTTTTAATAAGGTAATCACGCCTTAATTATTTATATAAATAAGTATTAATTTAATAAAAAGTATTTATATAAGAGTAAGGCACGAGATATTAAGTTTAATAAAAAATAATTAAAGTTATAAAAGTTTTTAAGTTATAATTACTTAAAAAATATATTTTAACTTTATTAATAAAAAACTATAGCTAATTTTTTTAAAAAAAAAACTAGCTAATTAGCTTATTAGTTATTTTAAAAATATATTTAAAAATAAAGGTATAGTTATTAATATAAGCACTAGCTTAATTAATATTATAATATTTAATAAAATTTTTACTTTTATATTAATAAAAATTATAAGATTTTTTATTATTTTAAAAAAATAATAAACACATGTTAGGGCTATAATATAATTTTTTTAAAAAGTTTATTATATAATAAAATAAAAGTATAATAGTAAAAAAATATTCAGGCGTGTATTAATAAAAATTTAAATAAAAGTATTAATTTATTTTTAGTATAAAAATCTTTTTTATTAAGGCCTTGCTATTAAACTTTTATAATATAATTTTAAAATTATACAAAGTTATAAAGTTTTTATAGTTTTTAAAGCTAAATTACGTTAAAATATTTTTAATATAGTATTTTTAAAAAAAAATAAATACTATTATTTATATATTAAATATTAATATTAATAAAATAAGTTAGTACTTTATTATTAATAACTTTAAAAATATTTTTAAACACCTTAATAACCTTTATAATATTATTTATAAATAAAAGAAAGCATAATATTATTTATATAAAAAAGAATAAATACCTGGCCGCAGGTAAAGACTAAATAGATTATATATATTTTAGTAAATTTAAGTAAAATAAAAAGGCTAGTAAGTATTTTATACTACTTTTTTAGTAATTACTTTAGGTTATATAAGGTCTTTAAAAGCAAGCTATATTTACTACTAATTTTATTACCTTTAAGTAGTTTAATAAAAAAATTTTTAAAAAGATTTATATATAAAAAAGTAGTAATAATATTAAAAAAATATAGTACCTAGCTATAAAAGGCAGCTAGTATACTAAAAAGTTTAAATAATATTAATTTAGTAATAACTATATATATATTAAAAATTTTATAATTATAGCTAATAATTTAGTAAAAGCCCTTAATAATTAGGCAAGCTTTATAGGTACTATTATATTTAATTTTAAAATACTTATTTATTTTTAGTAATTAAAAACACGCTATATATTATTAAAAAATAATTATTAAGCTTTTTATAAAGAGCTATATATTATTTATTTACCTTTAAATAAAAAACTATATTTATATATATTTTTAGCTTATAACTAGTATTATTTAGGGTTTTAAAAGCAAAGTTTTATTTATTTAGTTTGCTAAAGTTTAATATAAAAATAATATTATTAATAAAGTTATTAAGGGCAAGCTTATTATTCACAAGTAATTATATAAAATAATTTAAAAAAAGGTTAAAATTATATATAAAAAAAGTTTATTTATGCTTATTAACTTAAAGTACTTTTTGATAATTTAACTTAGCTTTTTTAAATAATTTCAGTGGTATATCTTATTTTTTAAAAGTAAAAAGTGCTAAGTATTAGCCCCTAAGGCGCGGGTGTGTCTTACTAAGCTATTATAATTTTTATTAATTATTTTTAAATTTCCCTTTTAGGAAGGAGGGGGGGTTTAAAGTAGGATAATATTAAAACTTTATATTATATAACTTTTAAACTAAAAAGTTTAGTACAGGTATTAAAAAAATATTAATTAGTTAGTATTTTTAGAGCCACTCCGGGTTATAAGTAAAATTATTAAAAAGGTTTTTTAAAATAGTTCTTCCTATTTTATATTTATTTTAAAAGGTGAAAAAATAAGGTTATAAAAAGTAAAAATATTTTTTTAAGAATTTAATAATATTTTAAAGCTAGGGGGTGTATATTTTTACTTTTAAAAATATAGTTTTGTTTATTTACTTTATTAGTAATAAGGTAAAAAGTATTAAAATTATATTTATTAATAGGTAGCGGGAGGGAAGTACTTAAAACTTTTTAAAAATAATATTATAGGTAGTAATAACTTACTTTAATTTAAAATTATAAACTTTATATAAACTTTTAAAATATTTAATAAAATAGCGCTTGGTTATATAAAAATTAATTTTTATTTTATATATTTTTTTAAAAATAAAATAAAAATATTTATATTTTAGCGCGCGCTGGTAAAAAATATTAAGTTATATATTATAAAGTGCTTTATAAGGTATTTTACTAATAATTTTATAATAAAAATAGTTATAAATATAAATAATAGCAAGAACTAGGTAATTTTAAAAAATTCAAAAAGTTAGTTTTTTATTATAATAGATATAACTAGTTTAATAATATAATAATTTTTTACTTTAATAATTAAATCTAGTGTTAGTAATATCTTGGTACTAGATTAAAAATAATATTATAATTTTTATAGTATAACTTAAGTGGTTAGTATTTTAAAATGTTATTATAATAAATATGCCTTATTTTTAACTTTAGCTATATATATAGCTAATTTTAAAGTTAAAAAATCTTTTTAATTTTTTTTTATAATAAATACCTAGTAAAACTAAAAGGCTTTATCAATAAATATAATAAAGTATAAGGTGCTTATTTACCCGCGTATTAATATAGGCCTGTAAATATTTATATATATAATATTTTTTAGCTAGCGGCTAAAATTCCTAGTTAAATTTTACCTTATTAAAAAAGTGTTATTTTTTTATTAATAATACATGGCTTGTACTATTTAACCAGCAGGCCTTTATATAATTTAAGGTTAATAATATATTTAAAAAAATCCCTATTTTTTTTAAATCCGTGCGTAGCTTGTTAATAAGCTAAATATATAAAAATTATTTTATTAAAAACCTTTACCTAGGCTATTATTAAACCCTTAAGTAAAATTATATTTTAATTAAGTATAAAGGTATTTACAAGCACGGTAATTATTTTAAAAAAAGTATTAATATTTAAATAAAAATAACAATAAGATTTAAGTAAGGTAGTGTATATAACTAGGAGTTTATACTAGGTAAGTTTAATAATAATATTAATATTAAATATTATATGAATATTTTTATTTATAAGTTATTTAATTAATACTAAATTATAAGCTAAGCTAGGCGTGTAGTAAATATTTTTTAATAAAAATTTTTTAATTTACTTTATACTAAATTTATTAATAATACCTAGTATAATATTACTACAGCCTTTAATAGAAAACTTATTATTATTAGTTATTTTAACTAGAACTCTGGCGTATTTAAATAATATAAAATTATGCTTAAAGTATATTATATAATAAAAGGTATTAAAGTTAAGTATTTAACTATTATTAATAACTAGTTTAATATTTGCATAAGTTAATTTAATATAAAAATTTAGCTTATTAGTGTTAAAATCTAGTAATTATATAAATATAAAGTTTATATATATAAAGTTAAACTTAATACTAATAATATTAGCTTTTAAAAAGGCCTGTAAAGTATTAAGCAAAAATACCAATAAAAAACCTTAAGTTAATCCTTAAGCTAATTATTATGAAGCACTAGTAGTAATATTTTTTATTTATATAATATTTATAAAAATAAAGGCGCCATGGCCTTTTTTACCTTTTTTTATAATATTTAGATTTACTATCACGGCCTTAACAGGCGCTAGTACTAGTATTTTTAAAATTACCTTTATTTTATAACTAGGTATTTACTAAATTTTTAACATAAGTAAAAAAAAATAATTATTATATAACTAGTAATATATATACCATATAATACTATAATTTTTAATAAAAATAAAGTTATTATAACTAGGGTGGCTAGTCGTGTTAGTAATATATTAAATAATTTTAAATATTTATATTTAATTATAGGAAAAATAAATAAACATTATTAATATTTTAATAAAATATTACATATAGCTAAGTAATAAAGGGCTATATATTATATAAATCAAAAATTATTATAGTAAAAAAATATTATATAGCTTATTAATTAAGGGTCTGTGTAATTACTAGCTTAGTAATAATATTTTTAAACTTTATAAAAAAAATTTTTAGTTATTAATTTATATATTTTATTATATTAAGTATTTACTAGCTTTTTAAAAAAAAATTAGTGCTAGATAAGTTATATAGCTTTTATAAGTAATAAAAGGCTTAGGTAGTACTTTAAAGGCTAAAAATTTAGTTTATATATTATATATAAAGTATTAATTATAAAAATAATAATAAAAAATAATTATATTATATTTAATGCTTTTAATTTGCTTTTATCTTAATATTTTAAAAAGTTTAAATACCTATTTAATTTTTAATAATAAGCTTAGTAACTTAATCCTAAGCCATGTTATTTTTATTAATATATTTAATAATAATAATAGCTTGCTCTAGTAAATACTTATAAAAAAAACTTTTATAATAATAATAAGCTAAAAATAAGGTAGTTTAAAATAAATTATAATTTTAAAAAATTCGCGTTATAAATAATAGTTTTTTTAATTATTAAATTATATAAAAACTTTATAAAAGTTAAAAGTAATTATAATGATATTAACTATATTATAAATAAATTTTTATATAGCCTTAATATATAAAAATAGTATAAAAGTTATATAAAGTAAGTAATTAAAAAATTTATATTAAGTAATTAAAAATCTTAATATTATATAAAAATATTTTTAATTTAATAAATATTTAAGGAAAATAAATTTTAAAAAAAGGTAGTAATGAAAAAAGTAATTATATATAAATAAATATAATATTCTAATAAAAAAAGCTACCTGGAGTAATTATATATAAATAAATATAATATTTTAATAAAAAAAGCTACCTGGGGTATATAATTTTTTAAAAATAAAAGCTTAAAAATTATATTTAGCTAGGCCATAATAATAAAGCTATACTTAGTATAGCTAACGAAGCTAATAGGCAAGGGCTATAATAGGGCAAGCAGTATACTACACTCCAACAGTTTCCAGTACTCACATTCCCATTTTCAAAGATGACGATCATCGTCTTGCCTTGGAGGCTTTTTGTTGACAATTGCCGTGGTGGGGAATATCTCTCTCGTGCGCAATGAGGGCAAGGTTACCCTGGCTCTGATGGTACAGTGGACAAGCCCTAAGCGGATTGAAGCTTTACCCAGGGAGCTCAAATCCCCTAGCGAGGAGAGCAGGTATGCATGAACCAAGCTAGGTAAAACACCTTTGCATCCAGTCACAATTCATAGCTGCACTGGTTACACCTGTCAGCCCAATCATAATACTCGCATGTTTTTTGCGTGATGATTAAGGGAAACGGTGATGTTAGGTCAGAGCGCGCCTGTGTGATATCTATCCAATAGTCTCTTGCTACACGGTACTGGGATTCAATCCGCATGAATAGAGTTCCAAGTGTCCGGTGCAGTGAGGTGTGATATCCAATCATCACTTGGTACTTACGATTCCGGGACTCGATCAGCATCAATAAAGTTCCGAGGGTTTAGTGCAGTAACCCTGCCAGACGTGGGTAGGTTCCGCAATGGATATCCAATACTAGTCCGAAAAGTCGAGCCGGACTCCGTATTGGCATATGGATATCAGCTCATGGAAGGCCTATAAAGCCTCCAATCAAGTTCCCACTGCGGAGGTGCTTGGACTAGGCCATGGCAAGGCCAGTAAACAGGGTAGTGTGCACTATGAAGATCATTCACGTTGGATCCCAATGCGCCATATGGACAATTTTAGGGCAGGAATTGTAATAAGATTGTTCCAGCCCCGTGGGGAACACAACGCAGAGACCATTGGACCCGAATTGGAAGATTAGTGGTCAGTAAGCCTGCGCTCACATCGTCACATTTCAATAACTTCACATTGCTTTTGTGTGACTACGCGTGGGTGATGCTGACTTTCGATCGCAGTACGCACTTATTTCCTTCCACCCACGTAGATCCATGGCGTCAGACAGGCCCTATTCATGGCCTCCGAACCTCTCACTTCCAGTCGGATGGCTCGGGTCAGCAGCTGTAAAGTCAACGACTCTTGGGAAAGTTGCTCCGAGCTCCGCGCTTACATAGCATACTATGGTAGCAATTTTAATGGCTATAAAGCAGACGCTGGACGCACCCGGCACATAACTCAGAACAATCTCATTAATCGCAACGCTTTTGTTGGAAACCCATTGACTCTTCACACTGAAAACCAGGCTTCAGCTACTGCAACCATGCGTCCCTCCCTCCTCCCCATTATTCTCGCCGCCTCCCTGGCTCCCATGTGCCTCGCCCAAGCCCCGGACGGCACAATCGAACTCCCATACGGCTCGACCGGACGCATCTACAGCGGTGATCGCTGTGTCACTCAAGACGGATGGCTGACTACACCTGATTCGCCCGACACGCCCTGTTCCACCTTCATGGTCGAGAGGAACGGGTGTCTGATAAGTCAGGGGTTTCGCAGGAACACCCTGATCGTCGTCCCCGGTGCACCCCATACGGTGGTTGGCACTCCCGATGAGTGCGATCTGCGTGAGGGGTGGGCGGCTTTGCGCGGGGTTTGTCTCTGATTCCTCCCTTGCTGTGCCTGTGTATTTGTGGACCTAGACTCACAATGGATATCTGGTTGCAGGTCCCCGGCCCAGAAGGCGATTCCTACCGCGACCTTGTCTGGTTCACCAGTCGCGAGCAGGACGGGCGTTCCATTACCTACGGCCCAGAGTGGTGGCTTAACCCCGGAGTCGAAGACGGTCCCAATTATCTCCAGGGTGATGCTCGGAGCGCTGGTGTTATTGTGACTTTGGAACTGAGGATTACGCGCGACCCTGAGCAGGCGTAGCGAAACTCGCGGTTGGAATGTATGCCTCTGCTGGGAGTACGCGGTACACGCAGTCGTTCTTTCTTCTTTCGGTGTCTTGTATGCCCTTTGCAGCCAGCATAACCTTATTCTGAGGACCTTGTTGTTGAGATCTTGCTGTTTGAAGTTGGTGGGTTGCCCTCAACGGCAAGCATCTATGTAAAACCGTTCGCGCTGGCAATTCAACATTGCCAGTTCAGGATGGGTTTGGGCTGAGTCTTATTTTCTTGTATTTAAAGCTCCATAGCAAGGCCATTGGCCAAGCTTTATCTTCCTCAGGTTCAAGCTTCACTACCTTGCCATTTCGTCGACATATTGCTGTTTGGACTGCTTTATCCTTGGAAACTATAGTTGATCCGTTAATCTCATCACTCTGTGGCTGACCCACTAAACCTCTAAACTACGGGCTACAGGACATCGACGAATACCTCAATATGCTAGAGCAACCTCTTTTCGTTCACCGAGCAGGATGAAGTTAGGTAGCTAGGAGTAGGCTGTACACAAAGTTTGTTCTTGGTGGCTTTCATGCAGTTTGTATCCGGTATTACCTTTTCCGTCTTCTCCATGGTGCCATGTAGGTACTGCGGATCTGGTCTATAAATAAGATATACATAGCGTTTTTATATTGCCTTTGTTCTACTAGCTATCCATATTTGTTGTACTAGATATCCATAATCAATAAAGGAACCCTCGCTTCGGCCGATGGGACCACTTACCAGGCACAGATATTATGAATTGCCAATGCCGGCATTCAACTCTCATGGATTTCGGAGACAGCAAAAAGAACACAATTATTATATAATTAAATGAGCACTTTTTGAAATTAAGAGCAGTATTACTACACAGGAGTCCCGCTCCATCATAACTAAAACGCCGCAATGAAACAACCATCCCGCCGTTGGCTGTTCCTGGGATATAGTTGCGCCAGGTTAGATCTAGTATATTAACTTTAGTTATATAAAGTATTTTATAATATATACTTTAGTAAAGTAAAATAAAAATATTTATTAATTGTAAATTTTTATAAAAAATAGTTATATTATATTTATAATAAAAATATATTATTATTATTATTATAAATTACTAGGTAAATATAATTTAATTATAATTCATTTAGGTTTGCTAGGTTATGTATTTATAAATAAAATTTAAATTTAGGTTAACTTATTACTGCCTGTTAAACCTGTTACTAAAAGTATAATATATAGTACTAGTATTTATATATTATATATAATATAAATTAATATTGATATAATATAATTATTGTTAATAATATATAATTAGCTAAAAAATTATATACTACAAAGGTAATACTTAATAAGTTACTTTAATAATTTTAATATAGGATTATTTACTGCCTAGGCTAATAATATAAGTTAAAAATTTTTATTATAAACATAAATATAAATAAAAATACTCATTTAATCCTAATATTAATACTAATTTAATACTAATTTAATACTAATTTAATACTAATTTAATACTAATATTAATACTAATATTAATACTAATAGTAATATTAATATTTAGTGTAAATATTAATATTTAATGTAAATAAGAATTTAAAATATAAAAGGCCCGCGGGCTACTACCCAAGTTAATCCTACTTTATTAAGTTGATACTACGTCAAAAGCTACTAATATAATTTTTAAAAAAACCCTTAATATTATTAATAGAAACTTTTCAAGATTACTATCCTACAGGTAGTTAATTAAAATTACTATTTAATAATATATATTATATATTAAGTTTAAATATTATAAAACATTCTTTTCAAACACAAGCTTGTATTTTTAAAAGGTATTTTATGTAATATTAAAAAGATAAGTTAATATATTATTAAATTACTATTATATTACCATGTACTAAGTTTATATACTTATAGATATCAAAGTAGTTAAACCTTAATAAAATTGGCTTTTTATATAATTTCAGTATATGTTTTTAATACCTTGAAATATTCTTATTTATTTTATAAGTTATTTTTTTTAATTATGGTATATATTTAAAGGCTAGTAAAAATTATTAAGATTATAATATGTAAGGTAGCTAAGGTTATAAAAGGGTTAGATAATATAGTAGAATTATTTATTATTTATATGAACTTATATTATAAAGTAGTCTTATAACCTCAATAGATAAAGGTAAGTTTAATTATATTAATTCACCCTACATAAAGTAGGGATAACGAGTGTTATAACGTAAAATAAATAAAAAGAATTTTTATATTATAAGGTATTTAATTTAAAAAATAAAGTAGGGATAACCTATTAAATATTAGAATAGTATTAAGTATATATATTTTAATAAAAAAAATAAGTTAGGAACACATTTTTATAATTCATAGATATATAAAAGCTTTTTAAAATAAATTTCATTATAAAGTTAACTTACTATTTTTATTAAAACTATAATTAGTAGTAAAAAGAAACCAACAAAAGTAGGCATAGCATAATATATTAAAATGAAATTATACAATACTTTAAAAACCTACTATATTAACACAGGCAAGTTAGTACTAGTAATTATTATATAAGTTTATAAACTAGTAAAATACACCACTACCTACCTATATTAATCTTTTATTATTATTTATTTTTTATGTTATCCTTTATATTATCCTCTTGGATGGCTATATGATTTTTAGTATTATTTTTAGCATTATTATTATTTATCTTATTATCCACCTTATTGTCCGCTGGGCAGCATCTTTAGTATTATTTATATTACTATTTATATTACCCTTGGTATTATTAACACCTAGGCAACATTGGTATTATTTTTAATATTATTTGATTTATTATTTACACCTTGCTTAATATCTTTAAAGCGTTCATAAAGTAGTAAAGCTATTGAGTATTAAGTTTTATTATTATAATTTAATATTATAATCCACTTTTTTTTATTCTTTATTATATTTATTACTATATTATATAATTCAAAAATAACCTCGGCCTATTTAGCTTGTTTTTTTATATTATAAAAAGTTAAAAACATATTAAGGGGTATTTATTTATATTTTTATTTAAATTAAATTATATAACACCTGTATAAATAAAGTAATCTTATGAAAAATTAAAACTTATGTTGTTATAATAAACGTTTATTACCCTGCTTATTTTCTGAATATTTTATTTATTACTTAAATAAAGTTAACTTAGCTTTGAATTTTTAAATATATTAAAATATTTATTCTTATTATAGGAATTTTAAAAATAATTAATTATTATTGAAAACTAAAATACAAGCTAGCTTCAAGCTAGGTGCTTTTAAAAATAGGTTAATAAAAATTTTAAAATCCTGGTTAGAAATACTATAAAAATTAAATATTATAATAGAAATTTAAGGCCTAAATAAAGCCTAGTAAAAAAAGACCTAATAATATTTAATAAAATACCTTAAAATTTATTTAAAGATTTTAATTATTAAGATATATTTGTAAGGGCGCCCTAGCAACTAGATACTTTTTACTAATAATAATAAAGCTTGGTAAAGTGATTTAACTAATAAAAATAAAGTATTTAAAACCTTAATAAATTTAACTAAAAGGATTACTCAAAAATTATATATATTATAGCCTTTAATTCTTTTATATAGGTCTTGCCTAAAGGCTTTTAGCCTTTAAATAATTTTTTAAATAATTTTTATTTAAAAAGTAAGTAATATTTAAATATTTTTATATTTATACCTTTTATAATTACTTTTTAAATATTAGGGTAATCAAGTGTAAGGCATGCCTTTAATTTATTACTTAAATAATATTTAAAACTTAAGGTTTGTAAGCTAAGGTCCCTGGTTAAAGCTAATATTATATTAAGTTTTATATAATAATTTATAATAATAAGGTTTATTAAATTAAAGAAATACTTAAGGCATGCAATATAAGTAAAATTAATATTTTATAATAGCATAACCTAGGTACCTTAGGTATTACTTAATAATATAACCTAAATTAATATTAACCCTAATTATTTTTTTTTTTAAAAATAAATAAATTATTTATAATTTAGCGCTAAGCCATCTTAGGTAAATAATAAATTAATAATTTATTATATTAACTTATTATTATATTATAATATAATAAACTTTTTATTGTTACTATTTTTATTATTTATTATTTTTAGTTTAGAACCTTAAATAATATTTAATACTTTATTTAAAATATTTTACTATTTATTTATATTTAAAATAGTACTTAACTTTAAAATAACTTTTTTATTAGTTTGCCCTTAGTCTAGTTTTTTAAAAAATTTTCATTTTAAACCACTTTTATTATATAACTAGCTTATATAACTTTGTTTTGCTTTTCATTGATTTTTTATTTTATTTTTTTAATAATAATTAAATAAAACTACCCTTTTTTTAACGCCGCCTTATATTTAATAAATATAAAAGAATTAAGGTTTATACTATAATTAACTATAAATAATATTTTTTTATTTTAAAATTTTTAAACATTTTTTTAATATCCCATGTTTATATATAAAACTAAAGTTTCATAATAAATATTTTTTACCTATAATAGCCTATTTAAAGGTATTTAAATAATAGTATATTAGTATTAAAGTATACTAACTTAAATTCATTAAAATATATAACTTATTTTATTATTATTTTTTATTTTTTACCGTGCTGCTATAAGTAAGCTTTTTTTTTAATTAATATAATTATTTTAAAATATTAAACCCTAATAATATCTTTTATAGTATATTTTTTTTAATAAGTAATAATAATTTTCTTAGCGCTAGTTTATTCAGTATTTTAAATAAAAATATTTGAAATAGTAATAATAATAATACTAGTAATATTATGCCTTTTATAATTACTTTTTTATTTTTACTTTTTCTTACTTTTACTTCTACTATTTTTATTTTTTTGATTAAGGTAAGTTTTTTTTTATTTTTTTAAATAGCTGTTGGTATAAATAGCTAATAGCTTTTAAATATATTTTTATTATATAAAGGTAATTTTTCGCGATAAT